GTGTGCAGCTGCCCAGCACAAAGAGAGGAAGCCAGAGCAAGGCACAAAGGGGTGCTGTTCTCGAAGAAGAGCACACCTGGTGCACCTGCAACTCCACACAGGGATCTTCGCTACCCCAAGGGCTGCCACACCAATAGAGGGCAAGTGCCTCAACATAATAAGGGCCACATATGACAAGTAAGGACATAGAGGCACTGAACAACACGCTAGAACAGATGGACCTAACAGATATCTACAGAACTCTGCACCCAGAAACAGCAGGATACACATTCTTCTCAAGTGCACATGGAACATTTTCCAGAATAGACCACATACTAGGCCACAAAAAGAGCCTCAGCAAATTCCAAAAGATTGAAATTCTACCAACCAATTCTCAGATCACAAAGGTATAAAATTAGAAATAAATTGTACAAAGAAAACAAAAAGGCTCACAAACACGTGGAGGCTTAACACGCTCCTAAATAATCAGTGTATAAATGACCAAATTAAAAAAGAGATCAAGCAATATAAGGAGACAAGTGACAACAGCACAAAGCCCAAACTTCTGTGGGACACAGTGAAGGCAGTTCTAAGAGGAAAGTATATTGCAGCCCAGGCCTATTTAAAAAAGGAAGAACAATCCCAAATGAATAGTCTAAAGTCACAATTACTGAAACTGGAAAAAGAAGAACAAATGAGGCCCAAAGTCAGCAGAAAGAGGGACATAATGAAGATCAGAGAAGAAATAAATAAAATTGAGAAGAATTAAACAATAGAAAAAAATCAATGAAACCAAGAGCTGGTTCTTTTGAGAAAATAAACAAAATAGATAAACCACTAGCCAGACTTATTAAGAGAAAAAGAGAACCTACACACATAAACAGAATCAGAAATAAGAAAGGTAAATTGCAACGGACCCCTCAGAAATACAAAGAATTATCAGAGAATACTATGAAAACCTATATGCTAAGAGGCTGGAAAACCTAGAAGAAATGGACAACTTCCTAGAGAAATACAACCTTCCAAAACTGACCAAGGAAGAAACAGAAAATCTAAACAAACCAATTACCAGCAATGAAATTGAACTGGTAATCAAAAAAACTACCCAAGACCAAAACCCCCAGGCCAGACGGATTCACTGCTGAATGTTATCAGACATATAAAGAAGACATAATACCCATTCTCCATAAAGTTTTCCAAAAAATAGAAGAGGAGGAAAGACTTCCAGACTTATTCTATAAAGCCAGCATCACTCTAATACCAAAACCAGGCAAAGACCCCACCAAAAAAGAAAACTACAGACCAATATCCCTGATGAACACAGATGCAAAAATACTCAACAAAATATTAGCAAACCGAATTCAAAAATACATCAAGAGGATCATACACCATGACCAAGTGGGATTCATCTCAGGGATGCATGGATGGTACAATATTCAAAAATCCATCATCATTATCTACCACATTAACTAAAAGAAGGACAAAAACCACATGATCATTGGCCACAGATGCTGAAAAAGCATTCAACAAAATTCAACATCCATTCATAACTCTCAACAAAATGGGTATAGAGGGCAAGTGCCTCAATATAATAAGGGCCACATATGACAAACTCACAGCCAACATCATACTTAAGAGAGAGAAGCTGAAAGCTTTTCACCTAAAATCGGGAACAAGACAGGGATGCAAACTCTCATCACTGTTATTCAACATACTATTGGTGGTCCTAGCCATGGCAATCAGACAACACAAAGAAATACAAGGAATCCAGATCGGTAAAGAAGTCCAACTGTCACTGTTTGCAGATGACGTGATATTGTACATAAAAACCCCTAAAGACGCCACTCCAAACCTACTAGAACTAGTATGGAATTCAGCAAAGTTACAGGATACAAAATTAAAACACAGAAATCTGTTGCTTTCCTATACACTCGTGATGAACTAGCTGAAAGAGAAATCAGGAAATCAATTGCATTCACAATTTCATCAAAAAAAAAAAAATACCAAGGAATAAATCTAACCAAGGAAGTGAAAGACCTATACCCTGAAAACTACAACACACTCTTTTAAGAAAAATTAAAGAGGACACTAACAAATGAAAATTCATCCCATGCTCTTGGCTAGGAAGAATTAGTATTATCAAAATGGCCATCCTGCCCATAGCAATCTACACATTCAATGCAATCCCTATCAAAATACCAACAGCATTCTTCAACAAACTGGAACAAATAGTTCTAAAATTCATATGGAACCATAAAAGACCCTGAATAGCCAAAGAAATCCTGAGAAGGAAGAACAAAGCAGGGGGGATCCCACTTCCCAACTTCAAGCTCTACTAAAAAGACACAGTAATCAAGACAATTTGGTACTGGCACAAGAACAGACCCACAGACCAGTGGAACAGAACAGAGAGTCCAGATATTAACTCAAACATATATGGTCAATTAATATATGGTAAAGGAGCCATGGACATAAACTGGGGAAATGACAGCCTCTTCAACAGCTGGTGTTGGCAAAACTGGATAGTTACATGTAAGAGAATGAAACTGGATCATTGTCTAACCCCATACACAAAAGTAAATTAGAAATGGATCAAAGACCTGAATTAAGTCATGAAACTATAAAACTCTTAGGAAAAAACATGGGCAAAAATCTCTTGGACATAAACATGGGTGACTTCTTCATGAACATATCTCCCCGTGCAAGGGAAACAAAAGCAAAGATGAACAAGTGGGACTGTACCAAGCTGAAAAGCTTCTGTACAGCAAAGGACACCATCAATAGAACAAAAAGGTATCCTACAGTATGGAGAATATATTCATAAATGATGTATCTGATAAGGGGTTGACATCCAAAATATATAAAGAGCTCATGCACCTCAACAAACAAAAAGCAAATAATCCAATTAAAAAATGGGCAGAGGAGCTGAATAGACACTTCTCCAAAGAAGAAATTCAGGTGGCCAACAGGCACATGAAAAGATGCTCCACATCACTAATCCTCAGAGAAATGCAAATTAAAACCACAATGAGATATCACCTCATACCAGTAAGGATCACCACCATCCAAAAGACAAACAACAAATGTTGGTGAGGTTGTGGAGAAAGGGGAACCCTCTTACACTGCTGGTGGGAATGTAAATTAGTTCAACCATTGTGGAAAGTAATATGGAGGTTCCTCAAAAAACTAAAAATAGAAATACCATTTGACCCAGAAATTCCACTCCTAGGAATTTACCCTAAGAATGCAGCAGCCCAGTTTGAAAAAGACATATGCACCCCTATATTTACTGCAGCACTATATACAATAGCCAAAAAATATAAGTAACCTAAGTGTACATTAGTAGATGAATGGATAAAGAAGATGCGGTACATACACACAATGGAATATTATTCAGCTATAAGA